GAAAACAATGGATTGTGGATCACTACATCAAAAACTAATGATGTATTGTATGGTGACTAAAATAACATAATAATAATAAAAAAAAAGAAACTAAAATGCATACTGCTAATTGAGAAGAAGCTACTCCAAAAAGGCTAAATACTGTAAGGATCCCAGTGATATGACATTGTGCACAAAGAAAAACCACAGAGACGTTAAAAATACCAATGATCTATCTATCTATCTATCTATCTATATAATCAGTGATCACCAAGTGCTCAGGGCAAAGGTGAAAAATAAAATATTTGAAGCACAGGATTTTTAGGGCAGTGGAACTATTCCGTTGGGCAGTGGAACTATTCCGTTTGACAGTGTAGTGATGGGCATATGACATGCATTTGTCAAAGCCCATTAATCTGTAAAACACAGAAAGTGAATCTAATATAAACTGTGGGCTTTAGTTAATAATAATATACCAATATTTATTCATTAATCAAATACACCACACTACAACATGATGCTAATAACAGAGGGAAATCTGAGAGGGGAGATACATGGAACTCTCTGAACTATCTTCTCAATTCCGTAAATCTAAAACTGTGTTAAAAAATAAAGCCAACTGATTTTCTTAAAAACAAACAAACAAACAAATGGACAAGGGCTATGAGTTCTTGCCAGCAGTTCTCCCAAATACTTGCTCTTCACAAGGTAAAATTTGTTCACTTTGTACAAGTTAAGGGTTTTTGATTTCCACACAGACACCAGAAAGATCCTGAAGTCATCTTAATACATTGTTTCTAGCATATCTGATTGTTCAAAAACACTGCTTGCATGCTTTCACTTTACTGGTTTTTCTGGTTGTCCCTGTGTTTGAGATTTCCTTTACCTTACTTGAGATGGTCACAGAAGGCTGACATCGGTTACCTGCTGCAGTTCGAGTGCACAATGCGAGGAGATGGAAACCAGCAGGAGGCAAAGACGGGGCGGGAGCACCTCTCCGCCACCTTTTCTGTAAAACCAAACAGGCTCACGCTCCCGTTCCAGCTCCCTCCAGCACCAGCCATCCCACCCGTTTCCTGTGCAGTCTATTTGTGCGCATGCGCCCCGAACCTACCGCGCTCTGGCCGCCAGGCTCCAGGTAGGCAGTGACTGCGCTTGCGCTCCTGCTGGCCCACCCTTAAAGGGGCGAGCACTGTGTCGGCGGCCTTTGCGCAAGCGCTCCCGCCTCCTGTCGTGTCCCAGAACATAGAGCAGCGTACGGACGTGGTGCGGGTGGTGTCCGCGCATGCGCTCTCCCCGTCCGTCCGCGAAGGGCTACCCTTTGCCTGAGGAGGCAGCGACTGCGTCTGCGCATCTTTTGCTGCGGTTTCCGTCGTCGGTTGGTGTTTGTGCGGAGTGATGTCGCTTTTTGAGGGGTCGGCGGTGGGGATGAGGACACAGTGTTGTATGACGGCTCCAGGGCACAATGGATGGAGTTGAAAGGCAGCCTGGGCGGGGGCGGGGAGACGGGAGTTCCCGGGACACGCGGGTGGGGAGCGCGTTCAGAGGGAGGGGAGGGGCGCCGCGGCAGCTGGGGTGGCCGCTGCACCTCGGATCTCAGAGGTCGGGTCTGGTGCAGCCTGGCTGTGCCCACCCAGAGGCCACGGGGTCAGCCTCAGTTCCCTCCACGGGCTGCGGGGCCCAGGGAGGGGGTGCCCTGCGCGGGTAGTGACAATGGGGTAGCCGCGCCAAGACCATGACTTAGACCAGGGCTGAGTGCGCCTGACCTTTGCCTCGTGGGAGAGCCCCGAGGAGGAGACACCTGGAAGGGGGTGGGGGAGAACCTCCTCGGGACTGGGATTCAGGGTGGAAACCCCCCAGGAGGCGAACGCAGGAAGGCTGTGGGAGACAACCTTAGAGCACGGACCCCGACTAGGACGTGGGACCCTGGACCAGAGTAGGGACCTGACTGAGGTCAGCGTGGGGTTGACCCTGACTAAGGAGGGAGGGGACAGTGGTGTAAATGGAAAGCCTTCCAGAAGGTAGAGTGAGTGAAAAGCTCAGATCAAGTGGTTTGTCTTTGCTTGGAAGTGATGGCCACGTTTCTTGGATGCAGTGAATCCATGGTGGAAGTAGTGAACTGTTGTAGGCCTGGGGGGGGTGGTGAGGGGGCATGAAAATTTGGAGTTTCTGAGAGTCAGGAGTCAGCAAGGCGTCCACAAGGTTGTAGAGGTTGTTTACTGCCCAAGCTGGCTGAGGAGCGAGGGTAAGGGTCCACACTCTGGCCTGCACTGTGTTTACTGAGCTGTGTAGTTATCCTGGCGCTGGTCTACCTCGGCCGAAATCAAAGGGCGCCTTCCTCCAGTACCACACGGGCGCTGTCTGCTAACTGCTGACAAACCCGGGCAGGCCACATCTGTGTGGAGGACCCCTGTGTCTAAATCACACCATGGCAGGATGTGTTAACTCCATGCCAGGGGTTGGGCGGCGGTGCTAGGGAGACATTCTAAGTAACGGGCAAGAAATAACCTGCCTCCTCTTTTCAGGTGTCTTAGTGCAAGGGAGCCATGAAGAGCGGCATGGACTCACCAGATGACAGCACTCAAAGCTGCCATATTCTTCCCCTGTTCAGCAGTTCCATGGGAAAGCTGCAGCAGCTTCTGGGCAAGGGAGAGTACCTGCTACTGAAGAATATACCCATATTTGAGAGTGACTTTATCCAGGTGAATTACCCATCCTCCCCCTTCTCCCGGATTCATGTGTGCCCCTCCTTCCCCCTTTCTCCCCAGTTCATATGTGTCTTCCCTCCTCCCCAATTCATGTGCCTGGTCCCCCCTTCTCCCCGATTCATGTGTGCCCCCACTTCTCCCTCCTCCCCAATTCATGTGTCTGGTCCCCCCTTCTCCCCGATTCATGTGTCTGGTCCCGCCTTCTCCCCGATTCATGTGTCTGGTCCCCCCTTCTCCCTGTTTCATGTGTGTGTGTCCCCCTTCTCCCCCTTCTCCCCAATTCATGTGTGTAGTCCCCCCCTTCTTTCCTCCCTTTCATTCTTTTCTTCCCACAACTTATCGAAGACCTATCATGTGCTGAGCATGCAAAGATGTCTTCGATGAATTGCATCCGGGTAGGGGAAGGTGACAGTGGTTTTGTTTTGTTTTTGTACTTCCTGATTTATCCACCCAGTTTTATCAGGTGGCTGCCCTTTGCCATACTTGCTTCAGATGTAATATTTTTTGGAGGAAAAAACATGAATGTGGTGTAATCTTTTTGGACACACTTCCCTTCTTGCATTTCCCTTTCTGCCCAGCTACCACTGCCCCAAGTGTGGTCATTATTCTCATGCAGGTTCTGTCCCTTCGTGTGTACCTATTAAACGTTTTATGACTCTTGGAGATGCAGTACGGTCTTGGGTTGGACGTGTGGACTTGCGACATGATGTCCTACTGGTTGGTTCATTTGCAGCTTGCTTTTTCTCCCTCAGTGTGTTTTGTAGAAACTTGAGGCTCCAGATATCCTGAAACCATATTTATATGGTTCTCTCCAGTATCCAAAGCAATTTGGTGTCCATTTCCTGTCAGCCTCACAACAGCCTGCTTATGTAGGCCGAACAAAGATCCCCATTTTACTCAGGAGCAAACTGAGTTCCAGGGAGTGAGGTGACTTTCCCAGGCCGTCAAGTGGCTGAGGCCCCAGCTTTCTGGCCTTCAGCTCACGGAGTTTCTGCTCTACACAGCTTTCAGGATGATGGTGTGGGTTGGGGCATAGCAGTGAGAACCAGACTTTTGGTGTGAGCAACCACACACCTCGTAAGTGTGACAGCGAGAAGAGTAGGTGAGAGTAGACCCATGCGAATCAGCCAGGAGCTCCATGACTGTACTTCTGTCACCAATTCTCAACTGTGGCTGTTCCTTGGAATAACCTAGAAAGTGTAGAAAACACTGATGCCCAGGACCCACTCCCAGGATTCTGGGTAATGACCTGGAAAGGCTGGGCAGCAGGGCGCCACAGAGCTCGCAGTTTATTTAAATGTGTAGGCGGGATTCAGAGCCAGTAAACTCACACAGACACAAGACATAGATGATTATTCTCGATCAACTATTGGAGAGTTAGGTGTAAGTGACTAACATTATGTCCCTTTATCTTTTTCATATGTCTTCTAAGAACTTGGACATTTGCTTATGTAACCATGGCACAATTTCATGAAATTTGCTGTTGATAGAATGCTATCATACTAGTGAGTGTTTACATTTTCTCAGTTGTCCCAATAATGTTCTTAATAGTTGTATTTCCCCATCTGGGATCATGTTTTACACTTGATTGTCACACCTTTATACTCCTTGAGTCCAGAATGATCCCTTTGCATTTAATGGTTTTTTGCATTGGTATTTTTGAGGCAAAAAAGCTGTTTTTAGTTTTAATAAAATGTCCATTTTGCCAAAAAAAAAAAATCTACATTTGTTTACTCAAACACTTACTGGGAAGTACTTGCATTGTGCCTGGTCTCTTGTGACTGAAATTGTGGTGATGAACAACTTTGTCCATCACATCTGGGCATGTGCAAGTCAATGCAGAATACGTTTTCAGAGGCTGGATTGCTGGGTCTTTGGCTGTGCTTGCCGACTTATTATTTTAATGGTGAACACAGGTACTTCTAGTACAAAAGCATATGATCACAGGCACATTGAGGAAAGGGAGTTTGGCTCCTATGAGAGGTCAGATTGGAGAGAGAGATATGAATCTGTTCTCTTGGTATGGTACGCGGCTTGAACCATAACCCGCTGAGTTTTTGCCGCATACCAAGAACTGTGGTAGCCACTTTATTTAGGAGTGGAGCAGAGGAGGACCAATAGAATGTAAGACCATGCCACTTTCCTCTTTCTTCCAACAACAGATCAACAGAAGAGGAGAAGTGATTGATGTGCACAACACTGTGCAGATGGTGACGGTGGGCATCGCATATACTAGCCACCACTTCACAATGCCTGATGCCATGCTGCTGGCACAGCCAGCTGTGAGCTGTACAGTCAGTGCCAGAAATGACCAAGATACCCAGAGAAAGGACCTCAAGTCCACAAAGAGCTTGGAGCTGACCAGGCGAGTCCGGGAATTTCAGTCCCTCCCTATAGGACGTATGCAGAAGGGGCAAGGCCATCAAGCACATGATTCACCATAACACAGAGCCCAGAGTGAGAGAGCCTTCCACAGCATGACCAGCAACTGTGGTGTGGATTCAGAGGAGGAGAAATCAGACACATTTGTGGGGAAAGTGGCTATCGATTATAGAAGAAGGGTTGTGGTTATAAGACCAGGAAGAAAGTTGGAGACACATAGTTGCAGGCCTTGCATGGCAGAGCGGGGGCGGTCTTGTAGGTGGTCAGGAGCCGTCGTGGTGTTGCATGAGGTCCAACGAGCTAAGTGCTCTTCCAAATTAAGTCTGCACTTATCAGCGATGAGGAGGTGGACATGAGAGCTGAGGTCAAGCGGACAGGATTTGGCAAATCCTTTAGCAGAGAAATAGATTCGGACTGGGCTAAAGGACTCCCTCCCTCTTCCTCCCCATTTGTCTCCACCTAATCCCCCACTTCTTTGCTCCCCAACAGGCTGCTTCCTTTGAAGTTTCTCAAGTTATCCATCTATAATCATGAAAAAAAACCAGTTCCACTTGAAGCTTGCCACTGGCCGCTCTTTTTACCTACAACTGTGCCTTCCTTCAGATGTGAGACAAGATCTGTTTGCATGCTGGGAAGACTTAGTGTACCTGCTGAGACCGCCAGTGGAGGCGTACAGTAGGACCCAGGCCCAGCCTGCTGGTGACATGATCTCCATACCTGGGTTGGAGGCAGAGGCCAGGAAGAGCCCAGCAGTAAGCCTTTGCATAGGCTCTTGGAGATGGGGCCAGGGTGATTTGGAAGAGCAGCTAAGGCTTTTCCAGGCTGCTCTCTCAGGCTCACCAGGAGAAGACATTGCATTTGGAAGAACTCGGTCCAAATAAGGCACCATGCAGAGGCCTTGCCACACTGGAAAGGCCCCAAGTGCTTCTGAATATCCGTGGTCCCTTAGATGTCAGCTCCTCTGATCTCATAGCCAATGTCTTAATGCCCTCAACAGCATCATCCCTGCCCAGGCCACTCTGGAACAATTGCTGCTACAACCCAGGCGGTCTGATCTGTTAGGGGACACTTCCAAGTATGAAAAGTCCTTCCTTAACTGGAGCCGCGCACTGATTTTTCTCTGCATCTGTGGCATGCTTTGTGCACATGTGCACAATTTGTTCCTAAATAGGAGAATGTTAAATGAGCATAGCTCTTGGCCAGCAGTCTCACTCCTGGGAGTCTGTTTTGCAGAAATGCTAAGACAAGTGTATAAAATAGAAGTGTGAGGATGGTCCCTGAATGGCCATAGTGCTCTTCTGGCACTGGAACTGTCCACATAAAACTCAAGTGACCATTGTGGGGGTGCCGTAGAGGGGATTCCTACATCCACTGGACTTGATGGCCTCAAAGTTTCTTCCAATTATAACTCTGGAGTGGTTCAGCTTCAAGAAGGCACGTGACAACCCCTTCTAGTCTCACTTTCTTCTCTACTTCCCTGTTTCTCCTCTCGGCACAGGCCATGGAGCTCCACGGACAAGGGGACCAAGATCAGGTCAACATCAGGAGCCTTTCCATGGTCGCTGATGTGTCTGGGGCCACCTCTCTGGCTTACACTGGTGGGGAAAGAAACCGACAATACGCTTCATACTGTATGCATAGGAACACACCGTCTGTCCCAATCCCGGCACCTGCAGGGCCGGACCAAAGGGCAGAACAGGGGCAACAGTAACTCTCCAGGGCAGCATGAGTTTGGTTGAAGGAGGGGAGACAATCAGCAGACCTGTTACAGCACGGAAGGTCCAGAAGTGGGACCCTCCATCTCGGTCTTTCAGAGTGAAGGCAACATGAGCAAACAGGATGGAGGCCAGAGAGTCTCCCCAGTCCAGGCTGAAGCCCCAAGGAAGAGTAAGGAAAAGGAGAGAACTCTCACTGAAAGGCTTTACCATCTTAATAGGATGTGGGAAAACAAATCATTCCTGAAATCACATGGAACCCCTCGGGGAGATAGAGAACCAGAGCAGCCTGAAGGAGCGAGGATATGGCTCCCTACTCCAGGAATACATAAACCTCAGCCTCACCCAAAAGGGGTCCAGGTGGGTGGCCAAATTTATCTCCCTCCCTGCTTTCTATTGGCCTTAATTCATTTTTCCATTTTCAGATGCCCAGTACTCAGGTGCGTGTGGTGAATCGGGACGAGCGAAACCCTAGTTCCCCAAGGAGTTTGCAGTCCAGTAGAGGGGTTGCACACTCCTTTGCTCATCCTCTTCACTTGCTACAGAGCATCGTGCATGCTAAATCCTGGATGGCACAGGCAAACGAGCAGTGCAGTCAGAAAGTTGGATGTGTGATTTGGATACGGTCTGGCCGTTTCCCTCTCTGAACCGTGAGCTCTGAGAGGACAGGGACATGCATGGCTCCTCAGGAAGGAAACTGAAAGTCCTGTTTCTTACCTCCTCTGTGCTGGTCCTGTGTGCACACATCTGGTTCTCATAACCAGAAACAATAAAGTCCTATTGATCTTAGTTTTACAGAGGAAGGAAATGGGGGTTCAGAGGCCATGAGTAACTTGGACAAAGACACACACACACTGATGAGTGTACAGTGAGGATTTCAATCTGTCTTTCTTGCAGCTAACCTGTGTTCTTCCTCAGCATTTGGGAATTATTCTAATCACTAATTCAAAAGACAAAAATGAGTACTCTTAAAAAAAATTCAGACTTGTGGAAAAATTGCCAATCATACAGTTTCTGTATATTTCTCCTCCAGCCCCTTCTCATAGTAACACTCTGTCAGAGCCAGGGGATTAACATTGCTACAAAATCCTGACTCAGATAAACATTTGAATTGCATTGGCATTTTGGTTCCAGGATTCCACACTGCATTTACTGGTTATTTCTTTGCAAAAACCTATTTCCCCCAATTGTTTGCCCCCCCGCTTTTAGCATGCATTGGTGGATTTTGTCTGCACCAGTTATTCTTGTGGTGTTTGCCTAATGATTTTATGTTTCCCTGATTCCCTCTGTCTGTATTAATTGGAATCCACTGTTAGGAAGAAGTATCCTTTCTCCCTCATTTATGTTTTTATTCAATTATTTATTTATGACATGGATATTCTATGGGTTATAATCAACTTTTTTTTTTTTTTGCTTTGATTATTCTAACAAAGGTCAGTACAAACTCCTTTATGTTGTTTCCTGTGTTCTTTCAATAAGTCCCGTCTTTTAGCATTTCTGGCACTTCCAGATATTCCAAGGTCATATTTTCCCTATCCCAGCTTTGTAAGCAACTGCTTTTCCAGGGAGTCCCAGCTCTTTTTATTAGAAACTGGTGTTTATAACAAAATATTGTCACTACGTTGTACTTGTTTTGACTAGGTTTGTTCTGTTTTGTTTTTCAGGTTATCTCAAAAATTGAGGAGGAGCTTGTCTAAAACTAGGTCAGGTAGGGTACCATAATCCAGAGATTGGTTTCCTTGTCCTGACCACTCTTGTGCAGCTTCTCCTAGTCCCAAAGGCAAAGCACGTTAGCCATTCATGGAACTCAAGGATATCAACTAGAATGGATCTCAAATGTCAACACAGTTCACCCACCCATTTCAAAGATAGGGAAACATAATTTTCTTAAAGTGGGTCAATTTATTCATTTCTTGAAACAAATGCCTACTACATGCCCTATGATAATAACTGGTATATATAAACAATTAGGCAGAGTGGGGAGTACATGCAGAGACACAGGATATAGAGTCTCACAGCATGGAGACAGCTGGGCGAGTTTAGGGAGCTCACAGCTCAGTGGAATTGGAGCAGGAGATGCAGGGGGCAAGATGTGCTCAGGTGGAGATGGGAGGTGCACAGGAGTGATTTGACTACACCTATGCTTAGAATGGTCACTGCATAAGTGAGTACAGGAAAACTGGAATCAGAGAAGCCACTTAGGACTTTAGCCATGCAGGGGAGAGGTGATAAAAGGCCTGAACAACAGGCATGTAGAAGGGACATGGGCATAGACCCCATAGAATGTGGTGAATGATTAGACGAGTGAGGGATGATAGAGAATGTGAAATGACACACAGGCTTTCTACTTGATGGGTAGATAGCGCTGTTTATAGAGGTGGGAAGATACAACAGGATGAGCAAATATGGAATTAACTGAGTTTGGACAGATCTGACTTGGCCTTTGTATTTCAAGGCATTCCAGTTTGATAGGATAATATCTGATAATTCATTTTTTTAAAATTTATGTATTTATTTTAGAGAGAGCAAGCAGGGGAGGAGCAAAGAGAGGGAGAGAGAGAATCCTAAGCAGACTCCCCGCTGAGCATGGAGCCTGATAGGTCTCTGAGCTCATGACCCTGAGATTAGGACCTGAGCTAAAACCAAGAGTTGGATGCTCAACCAGCTGAGCCACCCAGATGCCCCTGATTCATTACTTTTTAAGTAAACATTGACTTTGTGCCTATTGTGTGTCAGATTCTTTGCTCTGGACAGGGCAGGGTGAGGTGTGCAGCCTGGTGAACAAAGCCCA